GAATATCTTTTTCTACTGCCATGAAGATAGGTCCTGTATCTTAAATAACACTCATGGGAGAGCATCAACATGTGAGTCCCTTATTCACTGTCGTGTCCCTGGAGCCTGGCAAATGGTGGCTTTTCTGTACGCATTTTTGGGTGAGACTTATGACAGGTCTATTTGTAACTTGCACCCCGTGGCTGAGCAGATCCATGCTGAGACATATGGAGGCAGTTGAATTAGGGTCAACTATACAGGACAAACAACAAAGTCTGAATAAATAAATCTAAGCTGGGTAATTCTAAACTCTCCTTCAATTTAGAGATTTCCTAAAATATATTAATTTTAAACAAATGTCAGGGATTCTTTTTCTGATTGCTCAATTTCCAGGGACTTTCAAAGATATTAGGGTTAAAATACTTCTATCCTTTGATTTAGCCTGCATGCATTATTTAGAGCATCCTGGTGTTATTTGTCATCTAATGCCATCTGTCCTGTGAAAGTTAATTGCTCTTCCCTATTCTAACACAAAATCTCCATACACAGATTTGAAGTCATTGGATTATCTAGGATTAACATTCTACTTACTAACCCAAATTCTCTGATTTTCTGACTGCACAATACTTGCTCACAGGGTACGGTCAATTCTCTACTTGATGGAGAAAGAACCACAGTAGAAGGAACTTAAATATTGTGGCCAAGTTTACATAGCCAACTAAGAACAAAGGCAAGAATAGAAGTTGGACAAAGACACATCTGCTATATACTTACATATCCTTTGCCACACTTGAACATCTCTTTAGGCAGTGAATGACTTAACACCTGCTATTGTATTTGACAAAAATAAAATAAAATAAAATAAAATGATGTTTTGGCTTATGGAATGTTGATCTCAGTGATGTTCAAAATTCTCCATGTTTTGATATCATAAATGATTGCTCTGTTTTGTTTAGTCAGTGGATGCATTGGGAGACAGGTTTCCTAAAGAAATTTGGGAAATATAATTGTTATACAAACATTAGTTTTCCTCAAAGTCAAAATCATTAACATGAGGAGAGGTTCAAGGTTCAGCTGGCTCCTGAAGATCTTTGGTTCAGCTCATGATGTAAGCAATGCTTCTCACTGCTTTGTGTGCATTATTTTATGTTATCCATCCAACAACAACCAAAAATACATTCAATAGAGAACCTATCAGATGTCTCTCAAACATCAGGCTGTTTAACTTATAAACATTTATTCAATATGTCTTTATGTGTAAGTTCCCCAGAGTAATGTCAGATACTCTAAATAGTTGATGATGGGAAGTACTTTGGTGATATCCATAATTTAAAGAAAAAGCTGGGCTTCAAGCTAGTGCTTTAAGGGTTTTATGCTCCAACCCTGTTCTTTTAAGAAGTGTCTTGAGACCTGGATTTCTTCCAAAGAATCTGGTCTCTGTATCAAAAAATGTCCCCCACACAAAATAATTTGGCACTAAATTGAATAAACCAGTAGTGCTCTCTTAAAGTTTCCCCTGGGGGGCCGGTGCCGCGGCTCACTAGGCTAATCCTCTGCCTTGCGGCACCGGCACACCGGGTTCTAGTCCCAGTCAGGGCGCCGGATTCTGTCCCGGTTGCCCCTCTTCCAGGCCAGCTCTCTGCTGTGGCCAGGGAGTGCAGTGGAGGATGGCCCAAGTGCTTGGGCCCTGCACCTGCATGGGAGACCAGGAGAAACACCTGGCTCCTGGCTTCAGATCAGCGCGGTGCGCCAGCCGCAGCGCGCCAGCCGTAGTGGCCATTGGAGGGTGAACCAATGGCAAAGGAAGACCTTTCTCTCTGTCTCTCTCTCTCTCTCACTGTCCACTCTGCCTGTCAAAAAAAAAAAAAAAGTTTCCCCTGGGGAATGGGCATTTAGCCTAGCGGTTAGTGCACCAGTGTCCCACATCTGAATATCTGGGTTCAGTCTCCAGCACTGGCTTCTGACTCCAGTGTCCAACAGATGGCGAGAGGCAGCCGTGATGGTGCCTCCCACCCAGATGGGATTCCTGGATTGTAGTCCTTGCTCATGGCTCTGGCCCTTGCTCAGCCCTGGATATTGGAGGCATTTGGAGAGTGAATCAGTGGATGGGAGCTCCATTGGTCTCTCTCTCTTTCTCTCTCTCACTATCTGTCTTTGTCTCTCATATAGACTTCAAAAACTTTAAAGTTTCCCTTGCAAACACTCCAAACTAGTAAATCTGTGTGTTCAGCAGAGGCACACACCCATTGATAGAAACACACAGCAAAAGAATAGCAGTGCCCAGATCCCGTACAATGCCATCCGTGCCATATTACTCAAATCAAATGCAAGGGTGTTTATTCCAGTTAACTCAATGTCAATTTAGTATATTGATATGGATGTTGACAGAGTACAGGATATATTGAGTATTCAGCACTCTGGGTATCTGGTGAGTTGGACCACCCATAGCCCAGTACTCACCCTATTAAATAATGGCCCCCATTGAACACTTTTAGCCAGTGGCCTCGTACCAGTGTGATTGTGGACTTGTTTGTGGCTTTATTGGCATCCTCATGACTTTTTAGTTAAATGACTTCTGACCTCTTTCCCCCACATGTCTGACTTTATACTTCCTTTACACATATTCAGATGGCCACCAAAAGGTCACATCTTACAGGAAATAAACCAACTTCCAAGTCATCTTGTACAAGTAGAGCTAAGATAGAAGGGATTCCCTAAGAGGTCCAGTTGTGTGGAACCTTTTCAGAGATGAATCATCCACCAGCTATGTACGGAACACATAAAACATGCTGCAGCTTTGCTCACTTCTACGGGGAAAATAAATATTCAAAGATCTCTACTTTTTAAACATTGCCATAATGAATCGTGATAAATATTTGGAGAGAAATGTGTATTTAGCTACAAGAGTGGGAAAGGGAATATCAGCGTAATATTTTCATTAGGAGTTTGCTCTTCTCAAAGGCCTAAGTATAGTGAAAGACAACCAGAACTGCCAGGAATAAGGCATTAAAGCAAAGTCCCTTTGCATTAAGTAAATGATGAATTCAGTGTTCACAATGGAATGGGGGATTCTTAAACATTTTTCTTGTGCATCTCGGAATTTAAATTTATAATGCACTTCATTCCATACCAGCAGATGAGTAAGATCAGAGAAGGAATTAATGAAAATAGCACCAGATAAATAAATATTATAGTCGGGGACAGATGGTGCAGCAGGTTGAGCTGCCACTGGCGATGCTTGGATCCCATTTTGGAGGGCCTGGAATTGAGCCCTACCTCCACCTGCATGTGTAGTTTTCTGCTAATGCATCTGGGAGGGAGACAGCCGATGATGTGGCTCCTACATCATGGGTGCAGGCATCTGGGAGTGAAACTGCAGATGGAAGATCTCGCTCTCTTTCTCTGTCTTTCCTTCTCTCTGTCACTCTGCATTTCAAAGAAATATATATTATTTTTATAAAAATAACTAAAAGTGAGGAATATAACCTTTTCTTAAGCTCTGAATGATGCAGATGATCACTGAGTCAGGGAGTTGCTGCCAGCCTCTGCCATTCAAAAAAAATAAAATATCCCAGCAACTGGAAGATAGAACTGGATAGCAGTAAATTAAAAAAAAAATAAGCACTGTTTTTAGAAAAACATAATTAGGGGAAAGGTAGTCTTTAAGAAGATTCCTAGCATTTAAAAAGTGTTTTTGTTTTTTCCTACCTTATTACTATAAATATGATAAAGATAGGGAAAATAAATTAAACAATAAATTATATTTGATTTTCTTTCCAAACCTAGGGACATGGAAAACTTCCCAATGGAAAGATTTGCTTAGTTGTTAGAGTTTTAATTACATTATTAGGGTTTATACCATAATACGGGCAGTGGCTTCATTGCAGGTTCAGCAATCTTGTTGACAAGCACATTAAAGTGAAAAGAGAAGGAGCTGGGAGGTTATTCAGAGTTGTTAAGCATTTCACAAGGATAATTTATTATCTTCACTTAGTCCCGTGACTGCCCACTTTCTCGGTAGGCAGCGTGGAACAGAAGACCACTAATCAGAACGGGGCCATCATCAGTGCTGCTTTAGAACAGGAAACTTCTTTGGGTTGTGTTTGAACCATAACTTTGCCAGTTTCTACACGGAGAACTGTGGCTTTTCATGACTATAGCACTCTTGTTAAAGCGACTGCAATGAGTCGAAGTGTAACACTGAAATGATACCCACGTGGGATTTTTCAGGTACCAGTGGATTGAACAATAAAGAATTGCTCATGGCAAGCCACTTTTGACTTACAAATGGCAGATGCGTACGGTCCAGTCTGTTAGCAGCCAACATGATTGAGTGCTGAGCACGGCCAGATTCTTGTCTGAGCACGGCCATGCATCTGTCATCTTCCTGGAAACATCCCTGCGAAATGCGGGCTGTTACCATTTCTCATTGCATAGATGAGAAAGTTGAGGCAGAGGAAGAGAACACAACTTGTCCAGTGGTCATAGTCCTGAGAAGGGAAGGCGTAAAATTAAGCTTTGTTGTATCTGTGACTAGAGCAAATGAATACCTGGAGATGCTGTAGAAAAGTCAACCCTGTTTTCCAGTTGAGATCTGTGGCGAAGGAAAAAGTAGTTTTCCTTCCACCCTTCTGAGTTCTCAATGGTGACAGCCCCCTCCACCCTAGAGGTGGAACCAAAGTCAGATTAGCAAGAGAAAAACAGGTATTTGTTAACATGCGTATTCCATGCACCTGTGAGTTCAGTTTCCCAGGGGTTGGCCTCTGCAGGTTCCCAACAGGAGGAAATGCTCTTGAATCCTCAGCACCCTGTCCCCCCCACCCCCCGCCACCCTCCCACACCCGGGAGCACTGCACACGTGCCGCGCCGCTCGGGGTTGCAGCTCCTCCTGGCTTCAGCCAAAGCTGGAGCCACCCAGGCCTGGGCAGCGCCCCACGTGCCAGTTGGCTGACCCTGTTATCTCACCTGGGGCAAATGTGAGAAGTTTGTATGAAGTGAACATTGAACAGGGGTGCCCCTTACCTTGGATGTGAACGGTGTCTTGAAACATGATAGCAGTGTGTTGTTGAATTTCAATCCACATTCAGATCCTCATATCTTTCTAAGGCACTAACAGATAAGAACTGTTTTGTTTTCAATATTTGTTATGTGTATTCCATATTTGCACAACAGTTTACTGGCTTGAAACATCATATTGTTTACAGTAACTACTTATTAATGCAGATGTGCAAGGTTAAGATAAACACTGTTTGGTGTGTTCATTCAATCAGTGTTTCTTTTCATTTGAGTAATGTTTGCAAGGATGAGATTTAAGGAAGCCAACGTGAATAGTCAACAAGTATGCAAAATATCACACAGAGTATTTACTGGTTTAGTAATGTATCATACCTCTCTGCTTTCAATTTTCAAAGCCATTAAAAAGAGCAAGATTGAATATAAATATCCTCCATGCAGAGTTACACTTTTTTTTTTTTCATCAACTACTGTTTCCTTTTCTTTTGCTGGTCCTCCATTGCCACGTGGACATATTTATGCATTTGCCTCACTGATTCATGTGCTGACTGTCCTTGTTCATATCGGGTGCACACTTTTGAGGTTATAAAATACGGGTTTGTGGAGTCAGACTCTTGATTTGAAAAAGCTTGCCAATAAAACCATGCTATTAGATTAACAGGTCAGTGTATTAAATCGAGTGATGAACCCAAGGTTGATTTTCAGTCTGTTTATCACTCCCATATCAGATGAGAGAGAAGAGTGACTTAGCATTTGCATAGTTGTTGAGTGTGTCTGGAGTGATCTGTGTTCTTTCCTGTCATTTTGCTGGCAACAGTAAGAGTCTTGTGCCAGATCCCGTGTCCTTAAATATTTTGTATACTATTATCTGATGAGGCTCACCCAGAAAGGCAGTAAAAGAAATACATATTAGTGGCATTCCACCAGTACTTTAATTTTCTGAAAACTTCCTTGCTTCAAGGTTAAGGTCTGAGGTGCAAAATTTATTCTGTCAAATGCTCCTTGAACAATAGGATTATAAATGATAATATTTCAGGATATTTATGACTATAATATCAAGGAACCAATATAACAGTGTGGCAGATTTTGTATATACTTTTAAATTTTGGATTTAAAAAAAATGCTACTGCTTGCTGTGACTAGTGGCAAGTAGAGTTTTTTTTTTTTTGTTTTTTTTTTTTTTTTTTTTTTACAGGCAGAGTTAGTGAGAGAGAGAGAGAGACAGAGAGAAAGGTCTTCCTTTTTCCATTGGTGTACACCCCAAATGGCCGCTAAGGCTGGCAAGCTGTGCCAATCCGAAGCCAGGAGCCAGGTGCTTCTTCCTGGTCTCCCATGGGGTTCAGGGCCCAAGCATTTGGGCCATCCTACACTGTACTCCCGGGCCACAGCAGAGAGCTGGACAGGAAGAGGAGCAACTGGGACAGAATCCGGCACCCCGACCAGGACTAGAACCTGGGGTGTCAGCGCCGCAGGTGGAGGATTAGCCTAGTGAGCCGCGGCGCCGGCCGCAAGTAGAGTTTGATCACTATTATCCCATCTCTTGAGCAGGAACATGAACCAGGTACAGATTTGGAATTTGACTCATTTTGCCATCACTTGACTTCAGAAGCCCTGATCCTCATTGTGTTTGTCCATTGGTAGAATACGGTGGAATGAATTTCTCCTATAGTTTATCCTCCTATAGAATCTGACTGTGTTACTTATGGCCTGCCAACGAATCATTAGGAATGGGTTAGGATGGAAATTGCAAAAGGGAATTGTAGGTTCACACTCATATACGTGCAGGCTTTATTTGTGGGAGGGCAAGTTTATCAACTATACTGCTATTTCCAAAATGTATTTCTCACCTACTGTCTTTGTGCTAGGAATTGCAGCAGGAGTGTTTAGGTGGTAATCTCACTGCGAACAGCTGCTCAGGGTCAGGTAATATGAAGGTTCATCCACTAATGCCTCCCGATTCAGAGATCTTAGATGGGCTTTCTCTGTCTTACTTAGCTTAGGCCAGCGGTCAGGCTCCCAGCTGTCTCTGAGGCGGGCTTCCCCCCACCAATTTGCTCCTAATTTGTTTCTGTGACTAAACACTTTACTTCAACATGAAAGGAGAACTGAATTGAAGCCAATGTGTTACCCTCATTCTTTTGTTAGAAAAGCAAATTCTTTGCTGCTCTTTCCTAAGAAACAAAATCAACAACAACAAAAAGAAAAGAAAACAAGGCAAACAGATGATTAAGTCATGAACAGGCTCAATTTAAATCAAAACAAATGCTGCTTTGGAGTAATCAGGAAGGGCTCTCACTCCTGCTTTAAGGAATCCAGCACTGGGGCTGGCGCTGGGGCTTGGTAGGTTAAGGCTCCGCCTGTAGCACCTGCATCCCATACGGGCGCCTGTTCTGGTCCTGGCTGCTCCACTTCTGCTCCCGATCTTTGCTAATGGCCTGGGAAAGCAATGAAAGTGGCCCAAGTGCTTGGGCTCCTGCACCCACCTGGGAGACCTGGAAGAAGCTCCTGGCTCCTGGCTTTGGATCAGCCCAGCCCCGGGTGTTGGTGCCATTTGGGAGTGAACCAGTAGATGAATGAGCTCTCTGTCCCTCCCTCTCTGTCTGTAATTTTGCCTCTCAAATAAATAAATGAATAAATGTTTAATAAAGAAAAGAATCTAGCATGCTTGAATTATTCCACGTCCTTAAAATATAAGACCTATCAGAAACATGGAACTTATCTCCTCACTGGCATATTTCAGAACTCGCAAGGAAGCATGTTTGCCTGGAATCATTCAAATGTGGATTTGAACCTCAGGTCTGGTGCTGTTTTGTGAACTTCTCTGAATTCCTTCTTATCTTGAGCTTCCATTTCCACTTTTGTAAGGCAAACATCATTATATTGCCTTGGAGATTTGTGGTGAGGAAGAGGTAAGATTTTATTAATCACTTCCAGTGTTCCTGGAGCAGAGTATATGGATTTGTGGTTGTCTCCTGCCTGGACGCCCTCGGGAGATGTGCAAATCCTGGAAACTTCCTGGCTGAGGATGACCTTCTATGAGGCAGGAATGCCCTAGCTTTAGTGTCCAGAACTTTCCTCCCGTCTTTTGTACCGCCCTGCTTTCATTCAGCTCGCTCTCTTGTCTTCTTTGGCTTTCTGGCTTTGATGGTTCAGGAAACCCTTGGCTGTTGTCCTGGCTGGCTTTCCCAGAGCTCCGGGCTCCTGGTCCTGAGGTCTGTGGGCATCTCACTTTGATATCCTGTCAGTACTCCTAAGTAGAAGCCCCACACTGAAATGATCATTTGTCCATCCATATCTGCGCTGTTTTCTCCTTGATTTCATGCTAGTTTCTGTATTTGATTCTCTTCCCTGCTCATCCTTAAAAGTCCAACAAACACAAAGTCCCATGGAACCCATACAAACAAATCCCCTCACTTCCATCCCTTTCTAATTCTCTCCGTCCTCAGCATGACTCAAATCTGGTCACCTTCTACCCTAGTTTTGGGGCAGCCTTTTCAGTTATTTCTCTGACCCTCACCTCTGCCCATTTTCAGCGCATTTTTCCTTTGCTGTAGGAGTTTCAGAGTCCTAAGACCCTTGTTTCCCTACTTGCAAATTTCAGTGATTATTACTTGTAAAACTTTAGCATGGTGTTAGTATTTATGTCTTAGCTTGACTTAACCTACCTTTTAGTTTTAAATAAGATTTCTTTAAATAAATATAAGGCTTTCCAAACATACATGTAAGTGCCAAGGTTATAGGCCAGCACTACGGCTCAATAGGCTAATCCTCCGCCTGCGGCACTGGCACACCGGGTTCTAGTCCTGGTCGGGGTGCCGGATTCTGTCCCGGTTGCTCCTTTTCCAGGCCAGCTCTCTGCTGTGGCCCAGGAGGGCAGTGGAGGATGGCCCAAGTCCTTGAGCCCTGCACCCGCATGGGAGACCAAAGAAGCACCTGGCTCCTGGCTTTGGATCAGTGTGGTGTGCTGGCCGCAGTGCACTGGCTGCAGCGGCCACTGGGGGGTGAACCAATGGAAAAAGGAAGACCTTTCTCTTTGTCTCTCTCTCTCTCTCACTGTCCACTCTGCCTGTCAAAAAGAAAAAGTGCAAAGGTTATATAACAGAAACCAACATATTGGTTACTTACAATTAGCAGTATGTCTTCTGTATTTGCATAATATGTTTGTTATAGTTACATATTTTTAGATGGAAGCAAAAGTTCTACCCTCTGTTCTCCTGTACTCTCTCCCTGGAATCTGTGAGCTCTATTTTCCCCTTGCTTTCTCAAATACTGTGCTCTTGGGGTGGTGCCGTGAGAGAGGGATGATGTTCAGTGGTGGGAGGACTTTTGGAGAAGGGTCTCAAAGGAGGTGACCTGCTCAGATGTGACTTCTAATTCACGATGGGTCACTGTCTTACGAGGAATAGGCATTATGTCAAAGTGATTTCTCATCGTGGCCATGACAAGAGTCATGGTGCTTAACCTCTATAGTATGTAGTTTTCTCATCTGATACTCATGAGGTAGAGTGAATACCTCGGTACCTACCTTAACCATAGTTGTGGGAGTTGGCACCGAGGCTCACTTAGTTAATCCTCCGCCTGTGGTGCCGGCATCCCATATGCATGCCGGGTTCTAGTCCCTGCTGCTCCGCTTCCAGTCCAGCTCTCTGCTTTGGCCTGGGAAGGCAGCGGAGGATGGCCCAAGTGCTTGGGCCCTGCACCCGCATGGGAGACCAGGAGGAAGAACCTGGTTCCTGGCTTCAGATTGATGCAGCTCTGGCCATTGTGGCCATTTGGGGAGTGAACCAGCAGACAGAAGACCTTTCTCTCTGTCTCTCTCTCTGTCTATAACTCTACCTGTCAAAAAATTTTTTTGTATTAAAAAAAAGGATAGTTGTGATGATGACTTGAAAGGCTTTGGTAGAGACTTAATCACAGGTACCTGTTAATGCTATTAACATGTCCATGGAGAAAGTGTAGTGGATCAGGATGGACTGAATGGTCCAGGAACACTTCATTATCAATGGATGAATGCCAAAAATGTGGCCCTGGGATTTTTAGGGAAATTGAGTATTTCCCCCTTTTTTCATGAAGAATACATTCCAAGATCACCAGCAGGTACTTGAAACCACTGATATTACCACATCCTAAGTCTTCCCTCTACATGTATACATATTATAAAGTTTGATTTATAAATTAGGCTCAGTAAGATATTAGTAACAATACTCATAAAATAGGGCAGTTATAGTAGTCTATAATAATAGTAAAGTGAATGTTGTCTGTATCTCAAAATATGGAATTGTCCACTCTATATTTTGGGGTTGAAATCATGGAAAGTGGCATTCCAGACAATGGGGGACTTAAGTATGATGAAATATAGAGTTTCTGGGTTTATTTTAAACTCTGTCTTACCACAAGGCTTAAAGTGCCACTCCTGTGTTACAATAACCACTGGGGATTGGGATTGCCTCCAGGGAAGCTATGATGTGGCTGCTTCATGGAAGGTTTTGGCACCAGCTACAAAAGGAATCTCCTGTGCCCCAATTCAGTTTATTTTTTGTGCTTGAGCCATGAAAGAGTTAAATGGGTTTATTCCTTTTATCTTTGACTTGAATTATGTATGAGTGACTTTCTGAAATAAGATAGCAATGTTACATCTGCCACAGAGCAAAAGAAGCAACTCTCCATATATGAATGATGATCATCCTTGCTCAGGGTGCGAGGCCCCCAGCACTCCAGAAAAGGCCATAAATCTGGGCAATATCCCTGACTACAGCAGTTTACATCCAGGAGTCAGAGTTCCCGAAAGATGTGCAGCTCTGCAGGCAGACAGAAAGGGGGTGGACTGCACATCTGGGCAACTTCGTATGCATTGCTTGGTCCAGGCTGTTTGTCTTGTGCTCATGGAGTCTGGTGCTGTAGCACTCACGGTGGATGGCAGCAGTTGAATAACTTGTGTGTGGTTGCAGCATTTGTCCTCCTAAGAACCCTCTCATCCTTTGACTATGTTACGGTAAAAGCCCTTCATGGATGACATATTAGCCCATTTACTATGAGAATTAGAAGCAACCCTTTTGTTGTTGTTTTCATTTTGAAAAGAACTGTTATATAAAAGGTACTAGGACTTTCAATATCAAATATGTTTTTACATGAAAACCCAGCCTTTAGTATTTAAAGAAAAGACAGATATAACTTTTTCTCATGACTTGGGACGTTTTGAAAAATGTATTGACAGTGCCAACTCCTAAATAATGTTATACTAACTTTGAAAAGGCAGATGGCAGACAGCTTGGGAAAGGAGAACTAGTGGCTAGATTCTTTGCATTTGGGTTGAGTGCATATATTTCCATAACTCAGATCTATTAGTGAATGAACAAATTCAGTTTTTGTTGCATAACTCTCATTGAGGATCTATGCTCATAACAATTGGATTAGGAAATGTGGGTTGTATTAACTACTGCTTGTTCTGAGGGAGAAAACATGACTTAACAGGTTGAACAAAGCAAGAACTTAAACAGGAATGAATTCAAAAAATTTCAAACCCAGAGTAATAAATCAGCTATTAACATCACATTAATTTATTTTATTTTGATCTTAACTTCTATATTATTATATTATATTATTATATGTTAGAGAAATAACATGCTTACATTGCTATTTGTTTTTAAAATTTTAGGTATTACCTATTGATTTTCCAAAAGGAATTCAGCACTATTTTACCAAGTCTTCCCAATCTGCCACTATGGCAAACACACCTCCTATTCCTCCACTGTCCCTAATGTGTTTCTGTTATCATTTTTGTTTTTAATTTTCATGTTTACCTTTCTAAGAGAATGCTAATTATTTAGAATGGAGCCATATAGTAAACTATGATTATTCTTTTTTCATGATTAACTGAAGTTAATAATTTTTATTTTTAAGATACATTTATCAAAAATAAGACATCACATACTCCATAGTTTTAATGATGGTATTGCATTTGCCTGATGTTTTAAAGATGATATTGTCACTAATTCAGTGTCAAATTTTCTGCCAGACATCTCAATCTCTTTTCAAGATTTTTTATCAGCATCATCTGCTAGAGAAACCTCTGTGAGAGCCTTCTGACAGCTATGGCTTTCATATCGTCTGTCACTCAAATCTCAGTCACAGGTTCAATCCTCAGTCATATGCTATTGGTATAAAAAGATGGAAATTTAATCTGACTGCCGTGTTTCAAGTTGAGCCCTTTGGGAATTGATTAGGCTTAGATGCAGTTCTTAGGGCAGATCCTTCATGAAAATATCCTGGTGAATTTTTAAGAAGAAAGAGAGAGACCAGACGGACAAGTAGACATATACCCTTCCTGTCTCTTGCTGTGTGCTGCTCCGTACCACCTACGGACTCTCCCAGACAAGACCTACTTGCTGAAGCTGCTAACCTGTACTTCCGACTGAGGGCCAGAATAGCCCCCCATCTCTGTGGTTTGTTTTGATATGTCTTTTTAGATAAAATAGCCTACCTCAACTATTTTATAACAGCAATAAGAACACTGATATGAGTGTTCAAAAATTTCATGGAAGGTGGAGTTAGAAGAAGTTGTTTTTGATGCAAAAATATTTAATTTCATGCATAGTTTTTCACAATATGAATTTTCCATGAATTTTTAAGGGCTCTCATATGTGTGATCTCAAAGTTTTTGTACTAAAATGAACTTCTCTTTTAGTTTCATTTTTCACAAACTACATACACAATCTGTTTTTTCATAGACTGGTTCCCTCTGTAGACACAGTCATAAATTAAAGTTTTTTGAATTGGTCTTTAACAGATTCACTGTGCTTGTAGATACAATTGTAAAAGCATAAGGATAGTTCCTTCCTTCAACCCTCCCTCCCTCCCAATTTTTGACACTTATCATATCTGAAAATGACAATAGCTTGTTGTTGATTGGTAAATTGTCTCAATATAGACTTCTAGGTTGAACAATATTCTCCATGTTTTTTTAAGCTTTGATTTTTTTTTATACTCAAGTAGCTAGGGTTGCTGTTGAGAAATCTACAGTGTATGATTTTTATAAAGTTTTCCTTCCCTTTCTGCAAATTTGTGGTTTATTTCCCTTTGTTCCCAGTGTTCTAAATAAACTTTTATCTCTCTTTGATTCAGTAATATGGGAACTCAGATTTTCCCTTTCAGTATGAAAATTCATGCCTTCCAGTTATGAGGAATTTTCTAAAATTATTTTTCTAATGAATTCCTCATTTTTTTATGTTTAGCCATAACTGTGCACATACATATAGGTACACACACACACATGTGCACACACACATAATCATTAGACTTTCTGCATTAATTCTTTTTCCATTTTTCATCTCCTATTTTAAAAACCTTTGTGTTTTTTTTTTTTTTTTTTGCTTTATTTATAGGGAGATTTTATCAGCTTTGTCTTCTAACACTCTATAATTGAGTTTAAAATTGCTGCTGTTATAAATAAATATGCAAGAATTTGTATTTTTTTTGTAGAAATATTTGTTTTTCATAGCACATTGCTGTTGTTCCTGATAACATATTTTTTTTACCCATTTGAAAATATTGCTAACCAGTTTTTAAAAGTTTACCTCTCTGCATAGTCTTGATTTCCTCCATGTTGTTAATTTCCATAGATAATTTTCATTTCTGTCGGGCAATTCTTGTTTATCTTTATGGTGAATAATGAAGGATTAAAAACCTACTGATAGTTGTGTTCTCATAGATGGAGTCTTGTACCTCTGACGTTCCCTAGAGGGTGATTTGAAGAAATTAGAATTAAGAAATTGTTGGTATCAGTGTCTTTGATTCTCTTCATTGGAGCTCATTGGCTTCTCCAGGTGATCTCCTAAATAAACCCTTTTAGAAGGGTTCTTCCCAATCTGGAAATAAAAGTAGGGGCCCAAGTGTTCAGACTGTTAACTTTCCCTTAACTCCTGTGTTTATTAGTAAGTGCTACAGTTTCTAAGGGGAACTGTGATTCCCACAACCCCTGGGTCCTCTCCCAGAGCTGGGGGGGTCACCTGACTGCATGGAGTTGGGGAATGGGATCTGGAAGCCCACGATGTTCATTAGCAGATTTTTTGGACATTCTTGCTGTTCTTGGTCTCCCTTCCTTCTACTACTGAGGGAATTTCAAGGCTCTGCTGTATAATTCATTCACTAAATCACAGCCCTTTTCCTAATGTTGGAGCTCAGAAAATGAGATCTCAAAGCACAGCATTGTGGCATCCTGAGTCCTTTAAGCTGAGGGCCTTGGGAAGGGCCTCAGAGAGTCTCTTCCTGAACTTCTCCTCTCTCTCTCCATCTCCTCACGGTGACCCACGGAAACACAAAAGGGCTGCTCCCCAAAGCAGCTCACAGAGAGCAGAACTATCGCTGTGACTGTCCCCCACCGTTCTGTGGAAGAGTGGGCCGGGAGGAAATTCTCTGACTTAGCAGGTCTGAGGGTAGACCAGAAGACCCTTCTTCCTGAAGGGCTCCTGCCTTATACCCAGGAGGAAAGAACACTGCACAGAGAGGCCAGGAAGAGTCCAGCATTCAGGCCTCGCTGGGTCACCCCCCAATCACCACCGAGTCACATGTTTTTGTCCAATCATATTTCTACATGACTGTCCATCTTCCACAGAACCTAAGCATAAAAGCAGCTGTCACTGTATCTGCGTGTCTTTGTTTCTGAATGCTCCTGTGTTACATAAAACTTCTGTTAGTCTGTGTTACAGGACTGTCAGTTGTGATCCTTAGCACAGGGAGGGAGATGCCACACATTTCCACTACTAGGCTAACTTTATCATTTGAAATATCACATACAAGCATGATTTTGTAAAATATTTTCTGAAATATCTCTAAATGAATCTTATATAGTCAGTAAACTGTGTGATATCTCGTTACACTGAGAACATTGGGTTCCAGTTAGGGTATTAAAAATTGGGATAATTTGAGTAGAGTTTAATAAAGGAAGTGCTTTCAAAGGTACAGGAGGAGTGTAGATGAACTACAAGGGGTCAGACAGCATGCTTAGCTGATGGCAAGAACACTACTAGTCATAGACCTCAATGAATGAGAGAGGGTGTGACTGCCTACAAGAGTCAGGGACTGTTGAATGTGGAGAGAGCTCCCCAGTAGATGCAGGCAGCCCAAGGCAATCTTTGAGGAGCACCAGAGGCATAAATACTGCAGCCATGTCCTATTCCTTCTTGCCATCTCGTGATGCTGCTCCATGTTGGTCAAACGCTCTAGAAAGCATCCATGGAGGTGGTGGTCCGTGACTCCTCTTCCACAGCCCTGGTTGTTCAGAGACAAAGAGAAAAGGCGTAGAGTGGCCTTGATGGGGGAAGTGAACGTTAATAAGAATATACTCAGTGATTATGTTATCAACCTTATTGTTTTAAGAAACAGTAACATTGAAGGGATTAAACTACACAGTTGAGTAGGGAGGAATAACTAAGGAAAATTTTCAAAATACTTTGCAAAATATAAAATGAAGTAAATGTTACATTTATTACAAAAATATTTGTAATACAAAGTATGCATTTTGCCTTTTTTTGACCTCACAAAAATGTTGAAATTAAAAAGTCAGTTACCTACATATATTCATGGAACTTAATTCTCAATACCTCCGAACAGAATGGCTCCCTATTTTATATGATGCAAATAGGAGACAAAGGTGAACAGTCCTGTAGAATACATGCCATTTCACATACTTCTGCATTTGCAGATAATTTTTTGGAACTTTTTCGCCTGAAAACCCCATTGACTATTGCAATGAATCCCTAAGTTCTATTTTAAAACTAATCAGAAGCAGCCTCTTGATTTCAAATTCAGGTGCAAGCAAAGGTAAGGATCTTTTCAAGGAAGTTGATTTTTGGTGAGAGTGTTTCACAAGGGTTTAATGTATAAGTAGAATCCTTTCTCCACTGTGTTTCCCCTATTCTAATGCTGCAAGAGGCCACACACATTTTGAACACAATACTAATTACACACAAGGGTGTTCATGAGTGGCGTAAGATATTAAGTTGAAACAATTGGAGGCAGAAAAGTCTTCTAGAAGATATTTGATGCATTAAAGCAGAACATAAACTTTTTCCCCTCAGTAGGTTTGATCAGCCCCAAACCATTTCTCTGAAGCCAGAATGAATCAAACAATAGAGAGATACCATCCTAGTAGGAAGGTCAGAAGTCAGAGATATATGAAGAGCCATGTAAAGGGATCAAACAGTAAGGTAGGGATTTTTAAAAAAAAACTTAATATTTTATTTACTTTTGAGATAACATTTTTCATTTACATTATAGTCGAAAGCTTAATGGCTCTACAAAATAAGAGTTCAACAAATAAACATCAAAAAGGCCACAGTCCAGGAAAATAGGCAAGAGCTACAAATGAAGAGATGTCCAACTTGACTCAGATAAAGCAAATTTTTTAAATGTGGGGACTTTTAATGAAATTTCTCTCCAAGGAAGTCAATATCGATAAAGCAGAAAGGTTATGGACATGTGCTTATATCTAGACTTATGACATTCTTAAATTTTAACATGTCATGTTCAAGAGCAGTAACTCTGATGGTCTGTAGATGTGACACGAAGTTCCAATAACTTTTAATGACTGTGAACATCTCTGAGAGATCACGAAATCTGTGACAGATTTGACTAGAAGAAGGGAATGTGGCCATTTCTCAGGGGTGGTGGAGACAGCTTGTGGATTTTGTAGCTGAACAGAACAGTGGGCAACTCCAGCCGGGTAGTAATGTGGCTCTGGGAAATGAGACATTTTTCTCCTGTGAGAAGTCAGATCCTTCTCAGCCTTACCAAGCTGTTGGAATCTTTTCCTCCCGAGTCTAGTGGTCCCTTCTCCCTGCTTCTAACTGGTGGGTGAAGAGATGCCAGTTCATGCACCTAGCACAGCACTGTGTGAGGGTAGCTGGTGTGTAAAGTGGGGGTGCTAGAAGTAGTAACTTGGTAATAAGTCGTTTGAAGCTTATGCCCAGTCAAAAATACAAGATACAGAAAGCTGTGGATCAGCAATAGGAGACAAATCAGATAAGAAAAGACATCATAACCACCAGTGTATCATGAGGCCAGAATCTCAATCTTAGGGGTTTGTGAGTCGCTAAATTTCATCGATTGAAGCTCAAACTCTCAGTACGTCAGAAGGTGACCTTGATTGGAAATCCGATTCTTGCAGATGTAACTAGAATGAGTGACTATTGGAGTAGAGTGGGCCACCCAATATGTCCAGTGACTTTTTATAAAGGGTGAATTTGAACACAGTTGCTCACACAGGGAGCACACAGGTGAATGTTGGAGTCCTGCCTTCCCAAGCCAGCTACCAAACCTGGAAAAAGAGCCTGGAGCTGACCCTTCCTTCCATCTCCAGAGGGAACAAGGCCCTGCCAATGTCTTGCAGATTTCCAGCTTCTGGAAGTGTGATTCAAAATGTTGATGCTGTTTAAGCCACACATGTGTGGTCTTTGTTATGGCGTTCCTAGAACTGCTGCACTCACCTTCCACGGTTGGCGAGGGCTGAAGGAGAGGCTCGTGAAGCAGCCTGGGAGGAAGCATGGGTCACAGGGACTTGGAATAGTGGCCACCTAGTTCCGTACTGGTTAGTGGGTTAGTGACTGCGCGTCCTCAGGAAGCAAAAGCAGTCCACAGTTCATTTACCAGATAAACTGACCCAGTGATACCACCTTATCCCTTGTCATTAATTTCCCTGGCATCCTGAAGGCGTAATCGTAGGGAGTGGAGGTATGTGAAAATCAGTGTTCTCTGTCTGAGTTGTCAAATCTTCTTGTTATGCCAGAGGGGTTAGGAGAGCACCGTGACAGAGCCCCCCCCCCCCCCCCCCCCCCCGCCGTGGAGCCATCATTTGGGAAGAGACCCTGAGACAGCTAGAGTGCTCCCCTTAGTTTGTAATGCCCTGCTGAAGGTTCCCTGGAAAAGGATCTCTTCCTCATCCTGCTGGCCTTACGGGACGGTCAACGGAGGAGCCACACTCCTTCCCCTGGCTGGGGTTTGCGGGCAGTAAAGAAGCTGAAAGAATCAGATTCTCTGATGTATCCCAGAACACAGAACTCGCAGGGGTCCAGTCGTTCTATAGCAGTAGCCTGGAGAAGGGTGTTCCGTGTCTGGCTGCAGAATCCCCAGGACTTCTTGGTCCTGTCTTTCCCGGACAGTAACCTTTCTTGAAAGCTGTGAGATATCCTCCCAATGGACTTAATTTCCTAAGTTAGTACCGGTTACTTTCTGTTGCTTTCAATCAGAGATCCTTAACTGTTCGCTATCATTCCACTTAAAGTTTTTAGTGTTCGGAGGCTGCTTTGATAATGACAGTAGGGAATTTAAATTATTTATTTGATAATTGCTCTTTTAGAGATAATTTTTCCTTCTGAAGCATCTCAATAAGTATTCCAGCAACTGATTTGGATCACGAGTGGCTAAATTTAGCATTGGAATACAATTATCTTTAAAAAAAAAAAAAAAGACCCAGGGTTTCAACTTCGTGTCTGCATGTCTTCTTTTTTAATTTAAATGCCTTCTAAACAATTTACATTATTCCCCTGCCCTTTTGTACACTGGCCTTGAAAAATAAGATTAAAAAAATTAGAGAAATATTTTCAGTTCCAGAAAATAGAAATTGCTAGTAGAAAAGGGAACGATATAAATTGTTGCCCACACAGAACCACAGAAATAATGTTTAATTGATGTTTGGACGATAGTTTTTGTTGATTCAAGAGAAAGATTAGCTTGCTTATATATTACATATTGCAGCTAATCAGAGGAAGGAAAAACATCCTAAGTTTTAGCAACAATGCAAATTATGAAATTATAGAAAACCAGAAAATTCAGTTTACTTCATAATCTGCATAACACAGTTTTTTTTCTTGTAAATATGTAAAACATTTCTTACTATCCTGATAATACTGCTAAAATAACATTGAATATAATTATAAGTTGTCTCATTAATGTTAAGTACCTAAAGAGAGCTTAATTAGAAATTGAGTTCATTTTCCAACAAAAAACTATGTTTTCCTAAAAAGGATATAATTTCAAAAACTGAATATAGTTTGCATGCCTAAACAATCCTATAATTTTAGACTTTTTGTTAATTAAAGCTGTAAGCAATTTTAGGTTTAAAAATAAATTAAAATTTTTCACTAAAAATACACTAGTATGTAAATTTAGCTTTATCTTTGCTATAGAGATTGGATTTATTTCAGTTCTGGCTAAATTTCACATATCTATTTGTAGACTTGTAATTTATTTAAGAGTCAGAGATGGGGACGAGTGAGAGAATTCTTCCATTTGGTTCATGCTCCAAATGCCTACAATAGTTGGAACTGGTAAAGTCATGGTGGGAATCCAATCCAGGATTCAATCTCACATTGGTGGCTGGAACCCAACAAATTGAGCCATCACCGTTGCCTCCCAACGTATAAATTAGAGGAAGCTGGAATTAGGAGCCAAAGCCAGGAGAAGAAACCTGTAATTCCAATATGGTATGAAAGAATCCAAATTGTCATCTTAAGTGCTATGCGAAATGCCCACCCCTCAACAATATTTTAATATAATTCTACTGAAATTTATTATTCCAATTGCACTCATTTTGCCCTACACTTTATCTAAAATTATATATAAATCATATATATGTATGTACACATACACACAAATATATGCAAAATTGTGTTCAATTAAATAAAAGTATCTAGAATTTTTTTCCTTTAGAACTTATGCAAAAATGCTTAACAATTACAGTGAGAAAGTCTGGTGATAAATTCCAACTCTCCTACTTCTAGTAACTGACTAATGCAATGTTGACAATTTCCCTTAGTTTCTTTGAAATTCAGTTTTATTAGCTATTAAATGTGGAGAACACACTACTGTTTGCTTACCTATGTCAGATAGGACAGGTTATGCTGTGTTATAATGGCCTCCAAATATTGTGTCTTTAAAAAACTTCTCTTTTTTCTCATTGAATTAATGGGTCAATTGAGGGTTGGTGGGAGAGAGAGGAGGAAGGGGAGGAACTAGTCATAGCTACTCAAGGACCCCAGCCCGCTTATTGTCATGGCTGGAACAGAAGTAAAACGCTAAAGGGTTTTCCAGGAACTAAGTGCTCTGGTCCAGAGGTGACAGATGTCTAGTCACATGGTTCTACCCAAGGGGGCCAGGTAATGCAATTGTCTAAGCACTGAAGAGAGAAATACTTTGCCAACAGTGGAAATGGCAGATTTCTTTGTAGAGTTCCTGTGCTTTGTAAAACATAAGTAATATTTATATTCCTCTTCTGACACCAAAGCTCCCCCTCTTTCCATTGCACCACGTTGCTATTAAGCTTCTGTCACTCTTTGTTCTTCCATCTAATGAGGACATATTTATCGAGTGCTACAAAGTGCTAACCACTGTGCTTAGCGGAACAACATGGAGGAGACTTTGTTTTCCAGACACCCAAAATTCAGTAGAGAAAAAGGCTACTGCGCTAATATGTGAGCGGACGTCTAGCCTTGCCACAGAGAAGGGTACGATGGTTACTTCTACTGAAGCAGACTAGATATGGAATGTTGACATCGACTCCAGACACGAAGCTTTTGCTGTTCTGAAATCATCAAGTATTTCTATTCCATCATCTTTTCCCCCTTTTTCAAGAGGGTACATTTTAAAATGGTAATACCTGAGCTAGTGCTGTGGTGCAGTGGGTTAAGCTGCCACCTGCAGTGCCAGCATCACGTGTGAGCACTGCTCCACTTCCAGTCCAGCTCCCTGCTAATGAGCCTGGGAAAGCAGTGGAGGGTGTGCACACATGCAGGAGACCTAGCAGAAGCTCCTGGCTCCTTGCTTCAGTCTGGTCCAGTCCGGGCCATTGCAGCATTTGGGGAGTAAATCAGCTGATAGAAGACCTCCTTTCTTCCTCTCTCTCTCTCCCTGTGTCTCTCTCTCTGTCTCTCTCTCTTTAACTCTGCCTTTCAAAATAAATAAAATGAAAATATTAAAAAGTAATACCTCAGTCAGCTGTTAACAAAAATGAGACAAAAAGTGCTGACCCTTTCAAATAAAAGACATCATCCTTGTAGTCAGCATCGGCTATCTTAAATACAACATATTTTAAGTTGCTTTTCCCTAAAAACGAAGCTCTCTGCCTTAGAGAAGCAAATCTCTGTTTTTAGAAACTCACTTGTTTTTAAATATTCTACTTCACCTCTATGAATTAAAAAAACTGGTCCTGAAGTCTTACAAAACAAATATATTGCTCTTTCAAAGTCATTTTGACTGAAACAGTAAGCACTGGTAGGTAATAAAATCGGAGAATATTATATTCTAGAAAAATTAAAGGACAGAGGCAACTGCACTGAATTTAGTTTGACAAACATCTGTTGATGTCTGTTATAGGCGAGCCATCTAAAGGTTTACCAACTAATAGAGGAACAAACAAAAACCCGTGTATTGTAAATTAGAGTGGAATGATTTAAATAAGTGCGGTATAAAAAATAACAACGACAGTGCTTACCAGAGACCAGATGATGTTTCAAAGAGTTCTAAAAAATACGGGACCTGAAGCAAGAGGAGAGGAGGGTGACACACTGTGGGACTGGAAAAGAATATTTAATCTGGACTATTTGAGGAATGGTAAGCAGTCTAACAGGAAGGCAGCTTTGTGGTGCTTGCACATGCCTGTGCACGTGTGTGTCTGCATGTGTGTGTACATGTCTTCATGTATGTATATATGTGCACATATGTTTGCATGTGTGTGTTCACACATGTGTGTATGTGTGTGCATGTGTGTATTTGTGTGCATGTGTGTGTGTGTGTGTGATGTAATGGGTGCTAAGTAGAGTAGAGTGGATTGAGGCAGACTGTGAATGCCATGCTAAGTTGCACTAAATCTGAACAGCTGGGCAAAGACATGTGCAAACATGTTGCTTTGGGAATGTATATATCTCTTAAAACTGAGTGAAGAATGATTACAGTTAGATCTTATAGAAGAAAGATCAGCTAGGAGATCCAGGAATGAGAACCTGAGAAATGAAACCAGGGCACACAGAATGGAGAGCTGTTGGAGAATATTGTGGAAGTTGATATAACTTGATTCTACAATTGCCCAGCTATGGAGAATGAAAGAGAGGTGAAAGTTAGGGCAAGGATTAAGCTTTCTAACTTGAGTGATATCCACAACTACCCATCCCCGTGGTCACTTTACAGCCCCATAAGTTTAAAGAATTTCCTTGATCTCTTTAGTTTTCCCCTCCTAAATTCATTCATGCTATGGGACTGACTGGTGACCAAAATCTCAGTTTAAACATAGATTCTGCCTCATCGTCCACACAGTTGGAATTGATGTACAAACAAGGACCATAAGCCCCGAAGCAAGCCAATTAAAAACACAGTGTCCCACTGATCTTTTAATACTCTGATCGGGGGTAGTGCTTTCTTTACTGCTGGATTCAGACTATGGCAGATTCTGTAACTTTTCTGTTCACCCTTAGGTAAGGGAAAGAGTTATGACCACTTTTCATAACATGTCTCAGTTCATTAAAGAGAATGTGTATTCAAATGCTAAGAAAACATTAAATTTGATTTCTCTCATCACCCCTTCCCCAAGCTGGCAGCTTCACTTGTAGCATTTCTTCTCCTCTTAATCTGTTAGACCAGTGGGAAGGGAGGAGAGACCTGGGAGGTGCCGAAGTCATTGTCTCTGCTGTCTTTATACCACGGCTCCAACCTTGGGGCTTGCCAGGAGGTTCACGGTGATTCTCCAGGAGATACTTTCATGGGATAGTTAGGAATCCTTGTATATCCCAAGTAGTTATATCTCACCAGTAGTTCCCTTAATACAAATGAAATTTCCCTATTTT